TGAAGGGGGTTTTGGGGGTCTGGGGAAGTACTCAGGTGGTGATGGGGTGCTGACGGACAGTTTATTGAAGAGGGGTGGCCTTGGACTGAGGTGACAGAGAGGGCTGGGGGGAACAGGCTTCACCAGGTTATAGGGGGCTGATGGGGCAGAAGAGACCCACACACACCCCTTTCTTGCCCTTACGGTGGCAGGGAGGCTTTATTGCCTATTCCAGGGGGGATGTGAGAGGAGATGTGCAGAAAGCTCTAGCATGGGAGCTGCCCTGCACTGTGGAGAAGGCTGTCCCTGTGGCCCTGGCTTCATCCTTGTGGCAGCAGCTGTGTCCTCTTAGAGAATGAGCTTGTTTGGGGCATCAGAGCTGCTTCCTGCCCTGGAGCACTGCCCACAGTCCCAGAGAGCAGAGCAGCTGTGGTGCTGGTCTCAGTTCCGTTCCTTCTCCGTTCCCCAGCACTCCCAGCAGCTGAAGGGAGCAGCACGGCTGGCCCCGGCTCCGTGCCGCTGGAACTCCGGGCTGCCCGTCAACATCGGGGTGCTCTTCGTGCCCCAGCAGGAGGCCTGGGTGGTGGAGAGGATGGGCAAGTTCCACCGAATCCTCGAGCCTGTAAGGAGCAGCTTTTCTCCCCTTCTGGATTCAGCAGGTTCCTAAAGCTGTAGCGAGGCGCGTCCTTTGCACGAGGATCCGAGGGGTGGTGGGCTCGTTCTCCCAGGCTGAAGTCCTCTTGGCTGCCCGTGAACTCATTTCCCTTGGTGGGGGTGTTGAAAGCACTGAGAAACCAAAATTCCCTCTGTTTGTGAAGTGTGCTTGCTCTGCCTGCAGCATCTGTGGTGTGTGGCGTGGTCTTTGTTTGCACAGTTCTCTCTAGTCTGACTGTCACCCGTCTAATCCTGCCTTCTTCCCAGGGCTTGAACTTCCTAATCCCTCTCCTGGATCGGATTCGTTACGTGCAGAGTCTCAAAGAAATCGTCATCAACGTCCCAGAGCAGTCAGCTGTCACACTGGGTGAGGAACAGCTTCCGTGTCCTGCCCCTTCCCTTCTGCTGCATCTGGGGTGAGCAAGGGACAGTGTGGGGAGGAGTGGAATTGACTCAGGCTCCTGCATTCAGCCCCATCTCTTGGCACCCAGACTTGGCCATAAAATCACAGGATCGCAGGATGGCTGGGTTGCAAAGGACCTTAAAGATCACCTTATTCCAACCTTCCTGCCAAGGGCAGGAACGCCTTCTACTAGACCAGGTTGCTCAGGGCCCCGTCCAACCTGGCCTTGAACACTGCCAGGGATGGGGCATCCACAGCTCTGGGCAACCTGTGCCAGTGTCTCAAAACAATTTTAGTAAAGAATTTTCTCCTAGTATCTAACCTAAACTGCCCTCCATCAGCTTAAGGCCATTTTCTGTTGTCCTGTCACTCCATAGCCATGTAAAAAGTCCCCCTTCAGCTCTCTTGCGTCCCCGTTAGGTGCTGGAAGGCTGCTGCTGTAAGCAGGGGGCACCCCAGGAGGTCCTGCAGCTGCCCCTTGCTGGGTTGAATGCACCTGACCAGGAATACATTTTTCAGATGTCTTCTTTTACTGAACCACAAAAAACCCCACAAAATCAAAACACCTCTCTTAAAAAAGATTTTAGATCAGGTTAATGTATCTAATGTTAATGGACAGCCATTACATTTCTAGTTTTCAGAGTTTTGTTTCATTTTTTTCCCCCTTAAATCTTTATTTACAAGAACTACAGTGTTAAATGTTTCTATCTGGAAACCCGAGATTTGTTTTGTATTAAAATATTGTAGTGTTTTTGTGGGGAATGTTAAGGTCATTTTTACAAAGTCTTTAGACGAGGAGATCCATTTCAGCCAATCCTTCTTCTGTGCCGTGCTGCTATGCCAGGAAGGAAAAGGGCAACCCTGCCCAGCTGTGTTGTGGAAGAGAGGGTTGTCTGTTTTTTTTCTTTGCTGCTTCAGTAAACAGGAGCTGTTGTTCTCTCCTGGCAGATAATGTCACCCTGCAGATCGACGGTGTGCTCTACCTGCGGGTTATGGACCCCTACAAGGTACCATCCCTGCCCCTCAGGCACCTCTCTCCTGGCTCTATCTGCTCCCTGCTTCCCAAAATGTGTGCTTCAGCCTCTGTGCCCTGCCTGGTGGGTGGGCTTAGCACCCTGACTGCTCCTGAGGCTCCAGACTCCAGGTGTTTGTCAGGGATGTTTTGTTTTGGCGTTGTTTGTCCCTCCTGCCTCATTCAGGGTCCCTCTTGGCACCTCTACCCACTCTGTTTTGTGCTGCTGCTCTCCAGGCCAGCTATGGGGTGGAAGATCCTGAGTATGCAGTGACCCAACTGGCCCAGACCACCATGAGATCTGAACTCGGCAAACTCTCCCTCGACAGAGTCTTCCGGGTGAGCTGGGGAGGTAGATCATGGAGCTACCAACGTCTCTGGAAGCCCTGGGGCAGCCTGCCCCAAGCTGATACACTTACCAGCAAAACGGCCTTTGCTAAGAGGGCTTCTGGCTTCTGTTTCAGTTGACCTATTGGTGAATCCGTGGAGATGGGTCTTGTTTCCGTTGTTTTTTTAACAGGAGCTATTTTTTGCCCTGCCCTGGATTGTCTGGAAGGGGTGATGGGTGGTGTGTGCCCAGACCTGGCTGGTCCACCTGCGTTTCTTTTGAGCTGGTGACTCATTGCTCAGACCCAGTGATGAATGTCCCTGACGTGGTTCATGGGATGCCCTAATCCTTGTGCTGTGTTTGCTGGGCAAAAACTGGAGGTGTTGGCATTCCTGCTGTGTCCAGATGTACACTGGATGTTTGTATGCCATCAGTTTCAGTTGGGGGCCCTGCTCTCCCTAGGAGATGGTGACCCTTTCAAGAGCTGCGGGAAAAACCTGACCCTACCTGATGCCTTTGAAGATGTTTTTTTTCTGTCACATCTTGGCCCGTGTGGGGGGGTGTCTGTTTCCCTCCTGGCACTGTCTCATGCTAAGCACCTCTTCTCTGCTCTCTGCCATTTCCTTTGTGCCTCCCAGGAGCGGGAGTCCCTCAATGCCAGCATCGTGGATGCCATCAACCAGGCTTCAGACTGCTGGGGCATCCGATGCTTGCGCTACGAGATCAAGGACATCCACGTGCCTCCACGTGTGAAGGAATCCATGCAGATGCAGGTGTGGCTCTGTGGGAGGGAGGTCTGGAACAAGAGGGAAGTCTCCTCTTCCACACAGCGTCGTCGTTACCTGTCCACAGCTGGCAGCACCGGCTCTTCCTGTATGAGGGGCACTTTGGTGGCAGACATGCAGTTAGTGAACTGAATTAATAATTCCTGTCCTAATTTTGTCTGTAGTGGCCCCTGCCTGGTACACCCAAGCCTTGCCAGCTCCCACTAAAATCCCTACTGGGCTCTGTAGGGAAGAAAATCCCTATAGCTGAAGGTCTCCCCTTGGGAAAAGCTGGGCACAAGATCTCCAGGCTGGAAGGGGAGGAGGGGGAAGCAGCTGTCCAGTTGGGCGTGGATGGGGCTGGGGAGGGCTGTGAGGCCCGAGGAGCAGAAATAGCCCTCAGCAGGACCGTGCAGTGTTCTGTAGCTGCATTCGTATGCTTTGCTGAGCCATGCCTGCCCCTGCGGGACCCAGGAGTGTGTCCTTGCCCCAGTGCAGTCGTGGCAGGCTGGTGTCTGACCTGTGTTTGCAGGTGGAGGCAGAGCGGCGGAAGCGGGCGACGGTGCTGGAGTCGGAGGGGACGCGGGAATCTGCCATCAACGTGGCTGAGGGCCAGAAGCAGGCCCAGATCCTGGCGTCAGAAGCTGAGAAGGCTGAACAAATCAACAAAGCTGCTGGTAATGCCTTAGGGTAGAACATTTGGGAATCTGTAGCCATCTGGACGGAGGGGTGATGCTGCTGGGGAGAGACCACATCACTGTGGGCCAGGTGTCCTGAGCCATGTTGGTCCTGTCCTGCTGGGGCCTTTGTGCTGAGCTCCAGCTCGTGCTGCTGCCCCACCACAGCCTTGGGCAGCAGGAGGTGTGTGGCAGTGCTGCTGTTGGGGAAGAGAAGACTATGCATGCATGGACTTGTCTGGATTCACTCCTTGAAATTTTCTGGATTTGCTCCTGGCAACTGCTTTGTGGCGGTTGTGACGTGTTCTGCTGTGGTTCCTTGCAGGAGAAGCCAATGCCATGCTGGTCAAGGCCAGGGCCAAGGCGGAGGCAATTCAGCTCCTGGCAGCTGCTCTGTCACAGCAGGTGAGTGACAGCTCCCTGGGGCAACCACTGCCTTGGTGCCGGCATGGGGGGAGGTGACACATGGCTGGGGTGGCACGTGGCTTTCTCTTTGACGCTCCCTGGCATTTTCAGCAGCAGGGAATGGGGATCTTTGCTGTCCCAGCTGGGGTAGGCTGCAGATATGGGCATGGATGAGCTCTTGGTGATACATGACTCATCCCTCTCTCCCCAGCATGGCAGTGCTGCTGCCTCCCTGTCTGTGGCAGAGCAGTATGTGAATGCCTTCTCCAAGATTGCCAAAGACTCCAACACCATTCTGCTGCCCGCCAACACCGGCGACGTCACCAACATGGTGGCACAGGTCAGTTGGTCACTCGTGTCCTGGGCTGATCCAAAGCAGGGTGGGCAGCAGGTCAAGGGAGGGAATTCTGTCCCTCTGCTCTGCTCTCGTGAGACCCACCTGGAGCACTGCAGCCAGCTCTGGGATCCCCAGCACAGGAAGGACATGGACCCGTTGGAGTCCAGAGGAGACCACCAAGATGCTTAGAGGGATGGAGCACTTCCCCTATGAGGAAAGGCTGAGAGAATTGGGATTGTTTAACTTAGAGAAGAGAGAGCCTTCCAGTACCTAAAGGGGCCTTACAGTAAGGCTGGAGAGGGACTTGTACAAGGGCACCTAGGGATAGGATAAGGGAGAATGGCTTCAAACTGAAAGAGAGTAGGTTTAGATTAAATATTAAGAAGAAATTACTTGCTAGGAGTGTGATGAGGCACTGGCACAGGTTGCCCAGAGAAACTGTGGATGCCCCATCACTGGGGTGTTCAAAGCCAGGTTGGATGGGGCTTTGAGCAGCCTGATCTAGTGAAAGGTGTCCCTGTCCAATCCCCAGAGGGGTTGGAACGAGATGATCTTTAAGGTCTCTTCCAAGGTTAAATGCTTCGGTGATTCTTGCCCCAGGGAGGTGAGGGTGGCAGCGTGCTGGGACCCAGCCCTCTCCTCTCCCCCTCTTCTCATGACTGTCTTGTTCCCTCCAGGCCCTGGGGATATACACCACACTGACCAAGCCACAAGCTGTGAAAAACCAGGATGAGACTCCTCCAGCCCACGAGGAGCCCCAACCTGCCTCCATGGAGATGCTGAAGGCAGAGCAGGGCAGCTCCAGCTAATGGGACTGGAAGGATCCTGCTCCTTGTCCCGAGGTCTGCTCCGCAAACGGCAGCCCTGTCCTGCTGCGGTCAGATGCTCTTCTTCCCTTAGTCCCTATTTTGTATTTGGATTTAAATCATGTAATAAATGGTACCGGTGCTGCTGCAGCATGTTCCCTTGTGCTCGGGGGCCTGACCCTACCATCTGATGCCAGAGGGGGACCATCCATGCTCAACAGGCTCCAGGAGCTCGCATGGACACACAGTGATCTGCAAGAGGAAAAAAATGGAAATTAGGAAGAAATTCTTTACTTTGAGGGTGGTGAGGCACTGGCAGAGGTTGCCCAGAGGCGCTGTGGGTGCTCCGTCCCTGGAAGTGTTCAAGGCCAGACTGGATGGGGTATTTGAGTGGTCTAGGGGGAGGTGGCTGTGCTCACGGCAAGGGGGTTTGGAACAAAATGATCTTTAAGGTCCTTTGCAACCCAAACCGTTTTATGATTCTGTGAACTTCGGGACTCTGCTCCTGGGAAGGATGCCTTTCCCCAGGAGACCCCTCCTCTGGGAACGTGAGCTGCTGTCACTGTCTCCTCCTCTGTCATCTCTCAGAAGCTGCCCCTACAACGCACGACAGTGCGTTCTCCGCAGAGGGCTCCTCACAGCGAGCACCGCAGGGCGGGAAAAGCCTCTGCAGATTCATTAATTAACTGTCTAATTAAAATCAGCCTCTGGCCTTCTCGGGGTGCCTCGCCGGGAGGGAGGTGCGCGCGGGGGATTGGGCCTCCCGGCCGCCAGGGGGCGCTGCCACCCCCGCGGCTCAGCACGGTGCCGCTCTAGCGTGGCGGGCGCCACGCGCGGCGCTTCCGGGGGCGGCGGTCGGCGGGTGCCGCAGGTGGCGCCGGAGCGGGGTCGGGGGGCGCGGGGGGCTGTGAGGGAGCGGAGCGGGGTCGGGGGGCTCTGAGGGGCCAGAGGGGAGTCTGGGGATGCGCCGGGCACCAGGGTGGCTCGAGTGGGAGGTGGCGTGCCGGGAGTGCCGGCGACGGTCTGGGGGTGTCAGGAAGGGTCTGGGCTGTGTGAAGGGAACTGGGGGTGTCAGGACGAGGCCCTGGGGGACGTGAGTGCACGAGCGGGGCTGAGGGCCTGTGAGGGGGGCTGGAGGTGTCAGAGAGAGGGTCCAGGGGGACACTGGGCAGCTGGGAGGGAGCAGGACACGGCTCCCCCTCGGGCGGGGTACGGGGAGGTGCACAGGGTGGTTGTCAGCACATGGTGTGGGGCCGGTTAAAGGGTTGTGTCGGGGCTGACGGGGTGTTTGTGAGGGAGAGGTGGGTGTGAGGGGTGTGAGGCCAGCGGTGGGTGCTGGCAGGGAGTGGTGTCCGGCCCAGGTAGAGCCGCCGCGGCCTGAGCCTGCCTGTCCTTCCCTCTAGGATGCAGCGGTGGCCAGTGGTGCTCTTCCTGGCCTGGGTTTGCTTTCTCTTTTTCGCCGGCATCGGGCTCTTCATGAGCGGCTTTTTGCTCACCCGGATCGAGCTCGCCAGCAGCAGCTCCTGCTCCGACCCGCTCGTGCCGCCGCCCTGGGAGGGGCAGAGCCTCCCGCCAGGCTCCTGCTGGGCGCCCCAGCGCTTCTCCAAGGCCGTACTCGTCATCATCGATGCCCTGCGCTTCGAGTTCGCCCGCTTCGACCCCGGCAAGGCCAGCCCGCTGCCCTACGAGAACAAGCTGGGGGTGCTGCACCAGCTGGCCACCTCCCAGCCCCGGCACGCCCGGCTCTACCGCTTCAGGGCCGACCCCCCCACCGCCACCATGCAGCGCATCAAGGGCCTCACCACTGGGTCACTGCCCACCTTCATTGACGTGGGCAGCAACTTCGCCTCCTACGCCATCCAGGAGGACAACCTGCTGGCACAACTGGTGCAGAACGGTGGGTTCCTGGCCTTAGGCTGAGGCAGGGGACAGTGAGATGTTAGAAATGGGTTTTTTTCCACTCTTAGGGTGGTCAGGTCGCCCAGGGAGGTGGTGGAATCAGCATACCTGGAGGGGTATTTAGGAGGCGTCTGGATCTCGCACTGGATTTAGTGGTTTAGGGGTTACAGGGTGGTTGGATTGGATGATGTTGAAGGTCTCTTCCAACCTTGATGATTTGATGATTGGGACTGTTCAGCCTGGAGTAGAGAAGGCTGCAGGGAGACCCATGGCAACCCTCCAGTATTTGTTGGAGGCCTGCAGGGAAGCTGGAGGGGGACTCTTTATCAGGAGCTGTAGTGCTAGGACAAGGAGTAAAGGGTACAAGTTGATAGAGGAGAAATTTAGGTTAGATAATAGGAAGAAATTCTTCATTATGACAGTGGTGAGACGCTGGAACAGGTTACCCAGGAAGGTTGTGGATGCCCCAACCCTGGCAGTGTTCAAGGCCAGGCTGGATAAGCCCTTGAGCAACCTGATCTAGTGAGAGCTGTCCCTGCCCATGGCAGGGGGAGTTGGGACTAGATGATCTTTAAGGTCCCTTCTAACTCCTTAACATTCTTTAATTCTATGACTCTGTGTGGGCAGAGCAGTGTCCCACTGGGATGGGGCACTTGCAAATCCCTGCTCGGTTTAACCTTTGTTCAGAACCTTGATTCCTCTCTGCCTGGGAAGGGAACTGCTCACAACACCTCCACCCTGTTAGCTAATTCTTTTACCCTGCTCAGTGACAGTTTTCTCAGGCAGAGCTGCCGTGCAGGCAGGGTTTCTCCAACTTGTGCTGGGAGTGAGAAGTAGCTGCAACCGTGGCTTCATCTTCATCATCCTCAAAGATGACAAGAGAGCAGGTGAAGGTGGCTGCTCTGACGGTGACTGTCACAAGGTCACCCCCAGGAGTGCCTGTAAGAAGCCAAGGGCAATCGGTCATGTTGTGTGAGGAGGGAGGAGCCAGGTGGTGCCAGGTGCACCAGGTGGTGCCAGGTGTGCTGTGGGGGTGAGCCGGCCTGCCTGGCCAGCTGCCTGTGGCTCTTAGGCAGCAACCTCACCACAATCTGGGTGTAGTTCAGTGCCACTGTGGGGTGCTCAGTGCAGCTGTAAAGGGTTTGTTGTGGTGGGATGGTGGAGTAGAGGGAAAGAGAGAGGACGCAGTGGGTTGTTCTCCAGAGAGACTTCCTCCTATGGCTCAGAGTGGCACCAATACCAGTCCCTGGGTTGAGGCAATGGGACTGTGTGTGAGCAAGGTGGGCAAATACAGTAAAACATCTGAGGCAAAATGCACTGCTAAGCTCTGTGGCACAGCAGCAGCCTCAGAGGAAGCGGTTCCTGCTCCCAGGCTGGAGAGGCACTGTGGGACATGGTGGGCTGCTGGCAGGCAGGACAAGCAGAGTGAGGGTAGAGGGAAGAAGCATCAGTGCTTTTGCCTTCCCTTTTCCACATCTGAAACACCACCAGTGCTGTGTTTAAAAGCCAAAGCCCGGGACTCATGGCTTCTATTTAACCTCCACCTCCTGCCTCCCGTTTTGCAGTGGGGTCGCAGGCCTTGGGTGAGGGTTTGTCTGCTTCGTGCTGCACCTCGTGCACCCACCTTTGTTGTGACCCACAAGTCTTTCTGCTGGGGTGATGTGTTAGGTCACCAATAAATCTTGAGGGTTGTGCAGGTGAATTTGGTGTGGAGGACACTCCTGGGTTTAGAGACAGGGCTGGTCACTCCCCTTATTCAGAATCATTTACAGCCAGATGGTCATTTTAATTTTAGGTCACTTTTGAGTGTGGATTGGAGAGGGGCCATTGCTCTAGACCCTCACCTAGCTCTGCCCAGGCTCTTTGCATTGTTGTGGGTAACAGCATGACTCAGGTGGGCTCTGTCTCTCATTGCTTCCTTTCTCACAGGAAGGAAAGTAGTCTTCATGGGTGATGACACATGGGAAGGACTCTTCCCGAAGAAGTTCTTCCGCTCGTATTTCTTCCCTTCTTTTAACGTGAAGGATCTTCACACTGTGGATGATGGGATCCTGCAGCATCTCTATCCAACTGGTAAGCAGCCCTTTCCCCAGGGCCTGGATAACCCTTGACATTATGTGGGAGTTCAAGTTTGGGGTAGGACTGAAGGATTTTTCTGTTATGTTGTGGCACTGAGCAATCACAAATTGCTGCCCAAGGATTACAGTGCTCCCGCTGGATTTCCATGGATAAGCCAGCTCTTGGAGCCCCTAGACTATTTCTGTAAATACCTTTCCACCATTTGGAAGGGAGCTCAGCTTCTTGGGATGAGATTAGACTTCTACATCTGTCCTGGAAACACTCTGGCAGGATGGAGCAAGAGGAGCAGCTAAATTTTGGCATGTGGCTGCCCAGGAAGACTCACAATGCTCTGGGAAATAGACAAGGCAGGAGGCTGGGATGCAGCACTGCTCTCAGCATAGCTTGAGTGCCTCCTGATCGTGGGAAGAAGGTGAAGTGTGAGATTAGTTTGTGAATTTTAGATGATTTTCACCTCCTTGAGCTCCTGGGACTGAGGGAAATCCTCTTTCCTTTTCTGAGTTTGACTCTTAAGTGAATCAAGGGTGCAGTGGCCTTTCACAGGGAAGTCCTTGTGCCTTGTGGCAGAGCTGCTCTTCATCAACTCCAAATATGTTGGTTTCCATGCGTCAGTGCCCTGAAGCAGAGGGGAGAGGCTGGGGAAACCTTCTAGCCAGGGGCAGTGTTGGTGTGTCAGGTGGGATGCAGAGGGGCACACTGTTGGGTCTGGACCTGAAGTAACTCCAGGGGAGGATGGGGATTATGGTCTTTTCTTCTCCCGACGATCCCCTTGGTTTAGCTCAGTTTGTGCCAGCTCGATTTAAGGATGTTTCAAGATGGCTTTGGTGACACTGCACCTTTCCTATCCTGAGGGGTGGTGAGGAAAAACCAGGGACACTGGCTTTGATGTCCCTGTGCCATTACACCCAGGCACTTGCAGCCAAGAGTGTGCTTCAGTTAAAACCTGCACCGATCTGCTTGAGAGCTGGCAGTGACAGTGGCAGGAGGGGAAGAAACAGCAGTGTCCAGAGGCAATCAGAGAGCTCTGGCAGGAGGATCCAGGTGTGGGATCCCAGGCTGATATGTGATAAGGCTGCTTTTGTTTTGTTCCACAGTGGACAGTGGAGAATGGGACATGCTGATTGCTCACTTCCTTGGCGTGGACCACTGTGGGCACAAACACGGACCCGACCACCCCGAGATGGCCAAGAAGCTCACCCAGATGAATGAGATGCTCAGGTGATTAATGCAATCGGGATGGGTTGACTGAGTCTTCCCAGGGAGATGCGGAGGACAACAGGGGTTGCTTACTGACCCTGTTAGCATGGAAAACAGCTTTGGCCAGCAGCAGCTGGAAGCCCAGCTATGGGCAGTCTCTTTGAGTAGGTGCATGTTGATGAGAGGTTTGGTTTCAGAGGTAAGGCTGCCTGTCGGAGCCTTGGTTCTCTACCAAACCATCAGGTGACAGTGCAGCTGGAATACAGCTGAGCCTCAGTCTTCCCATCCTTAAACATGGAAGTTACGGCTACTTGAGCAAACACGAGGTTTAGCAATGTTTGAGAAGCACATGGAGGACCCTGGATGGGGATTGCTGCATTCACCACACAGGCCTATGAGTTGCACCTTTGTGTGCAACTGGGATCCAGAAATCTCAGTCATGCAGATATGTCTCAGCCCAAAACGCTGCAGCTTTTCACTCTTAGGACTGCTTTAAGTTTTGCTGCTACAGAGCGTGACTTGCTCTGCTGTATCTGAGAGCGCAGTGTATATCTACCAACCTACTGCATCCTTCCAATCCCCTCTTTTGTCCTTTAAAGTGGGAGGTGGCTTACATAACACGATACATGACCTGAACAGAAGCAGCCTAAAATTTTGTTCCTGTTGGGACCCTGTCCTCTGAATTGCATTTTATCAAGATCTGTGAAGGCACCGTTTGCTGCGAATCCAAGGAATATTAGTCCAGTCTGTCTCAGGGCTCTGAATTTTCAGTTTGGCTTTAGAGCACCCATTTAAAGCATGGTCCCTGGCTCATGTTGCAGCTCTTCATAAGCACTTAGTTTTGCTCATACCCATTTGTGGGCTTCACCTCTGTGCTGCAGGCAGGCTTGGTGGGGACATGTCCTCTCCCACCTAGGCTGGTTGGGCTCCTGCCCAGGGAGGACTTGACCTTCCTTATCCTGGTGACAGGTCCTTGGTGGATCACCTGGGGAATGACACCCTTCTTCTGGTGGCTGGGGACCATGGCATGACAGAGACTGGAGACCACGGTGGCGACAGCGAGAAGGAAGTAAACGCAGCACTGTTTGTGTACAGCAGGACACCCCTGTTTGGCAGTGGCCCTCCAGAGGTGAGAAGACGCTGACCCTTGGTATCCGAAGTGAAAACTGCATGCTGCGTTTACAGAGAGTGACAGTTTGATTGGGATCATTTAGATTGAGAGGAATGGGGGAGTCTCTCACCTTGTCTTGTGAGAACAGTGGAAGGGCTGATGCAGGATCCAGGGGACCAAAGCGTTTGGCACCCATGTTCAGACCCTCCAGCTCTGAGGGATGCTTGTTTAGGGCTGTACCCATCAACCTGCAGCTTTCAGCAGGTATCCTTTACTCCGCAGGCCCCTCGGGAAGGGCAGAGCTGTGCCTTTTCCTGGATTCACCTTTGAATGGGGATATCTTCCCCGTCGTCCTCTGACACGAGTGAAATGATGCATTGCTATGTTCTTTCTGAATTTGCAATTCCTCCCCTGTCTCTCCAGGAGCCTGAGACCATTCCCCAGGTGAACCTGGTGCCCACTGTGGCCCTGCTGCTGGGTGTCCCCATCCCCTACAGCAACATTGGGGAGGTGATGGCCGAGCTGTTCTCTGGGGATGGTGACGCTGTGTCTGCAGCCTTGCAGCAGCTCTCGGTCTATCACATCAACGCCAAGCAGGTACGGCCTGTGGCAGGCCACCCATTGAACTAGAGGGGAGAAGGAATGGCTTTTTAAGCACAAACATCTTCTCTTTTGTGGAGATGGGGTAGTGACATGGTGTTACCTTCAAAGGGCACTGATTTTGAGGTGTTACCTCCTTGCAGTGTTTGCTCCATTAAGAGGCAGCACCGTTTTCCCCAAGTTAAAATGAAAGATTTATTAGAGCTGCGGTGCAGAAAATACTGCCTGGGAAGGTAGCATTCCTTTCAGGGTGAGGGCTGGTTCCAGATTGTCAGGTCGATTTGGAAATGGGGGATGCCAGTTCCTCAAGGCTGAAGATGACCAGGGGCAAGTCTTGTGAATGGAGATTCAAGAGTAAAATTGGGGTTTTGATGCTGCTTCGGTTTTGGAGGAGAAACAGTGTTAACTGGAAAGCTATTCCAGATCAGTGACAGAAGGAGAACAGTAATGAAGGACTAAATAAATACTGTGTAACGGGTGACAGTAAAGTGGGTCACAGAAGGAGCAGTTTTCACCAAGCACAACAAAATACAGAACCCCAAGATCTGAATGACAAAATTTGAATGAAAGTGAAGGGAGGAATAAAAGAAGCCCTGGAAATGGAGCAGGCCAAGTCAGAGCCTCTATGGAGGAGGTGAGGGCTGTCTCTTACAGCTCTGGTCATGCTACAGAGCCAGATTTGCCATAGGCATTGCAAAGCATTTCTCTAGCTAAGGGCCAGTCTACCTTTGAGGGTCCCTGGATTGCTGGGAGCACAGGAATAACTCCTCCAGTGCCCAGCCAGCTCCTTGGAGTGCCAGTTTGTACCAGTGGTACAAGCCAGTGAGGAGCTGGAGAGAATACAACTGTTGATGGAAAGATGGAAACGTTCAGCCTCTCAGCTCTGTAGAGCAGCAGAGTGCTTTGTCATTTAAAGATGATACTGTATGTTCATGCCCATTAGTCACTGAGGATATCAATCATCATCTGTTAGGAATCAGCATTATCCAGTCCTGCCTGTTTAAATGTTTGTGCTCGTTTGTCTGAGGAGGTTTCTGTCTCAGTCATGTTGTTGTTGAAGGAGTTGTGGCATTCCACGGCGGGGTTGTGCAGGCCTGTAAGAGAGCTGGTGCACACGTCTGCCGTTTGTGGGCAGGGCAGACTGATCCTGCCTGTGCTCTGAGGCGACTGGAAGGTGTGTGGAGTTACATATGCGTTTCAGGACTTGAGCAGATCTACACTGCTGAGCAGCTGGATGTATGCGCAGGTGCCCTGCCCTGCCAATCCCCCTGTGAGACTTCTTTTATGACTCTTGAAGTAGGAAACAAGAAGCCTACGGTGCAGTTGTTTAATGTGCCTCTCTTGAAGAAGGGGAAGCAGTTAGGTCTGATCCACTAAAGGCTTTTTAATTTGATGTTTGTCCTCAGACAAAACTGTAAAAGTCGACATCAGGTGCAGATTAAGAGCCAGTAACGATCTGAGCTTCTGGAGCACGTTTGCCTTATTGCTGCCAAAGACTGTATAAAAGCCCTTAGTGATGCCCAGTGTCAGCAGAGGCACAGCTGCAGGTGAAGACCTGATTGGAGTCAGTGTGGCTGTCAGGATGGATGTGTCACTTGAGAGGGGCGTCACTTTGGCAGATGGGTTGTGTTTCCTGCCAGTGACATCCTGAATTTGTGTGACCAGCCCAGGATGATGTGGCTGGGGAAGGGTCTGCCCTAGCAGGGGTTGGTACACTATTTCCATTCTGAAGGGGCTGTGAGAGGCCGCGAATCCTGTTCCCAGTGGTCCAAGTGCTGCTGTCTGATCCTGTGTCCCCTCTCCCGCAGGTGGATCGCTTCCTGCACTCCTACTCGCTGGTGGCTCAGGACCTGCCAGCAGAGCAGCTCCAGCACCTGCGGGAGCTTTTCTCCAGCACCGTGGAGGAGCACACTCAGCTCTTGGCCCAGGTGCAGGGAACAACGCTGGTGCCTCCGGAGCTGGAGTCCAGGCTGGGAAGCCTCATCGGTCGCTTCCAGCTCTACCTGCGGGAGGCGCGGGCTGTGTGCACCCAGTCCTGGGCCCGCTTCCATCCCCTGCGTATGGTGGGGGGCTGCATCCTTGTTGCAGCTTCCTGCTTGCTCTGCTACATGGCCTCGGAGCTGCCCACATCCTCGGACTCCTTCTGTCGCAGCTGCCTCCTGTACCCGCTGCTCTGGGGCCTTGTAGGGGCTGCTCTGCTTGGGCTGGCCCACATTTTCACCCAGGAGGGGCTGGACCTTCTCCTGGTGTCATCATGGGCAGCTGCTGCTTCTCAGATGGGATTTTTCTGGCACTGGTGGGGCCGGCATCCCAAGAGAGCACGTTTGGTGGGCAGTCAGCCACCCTTGGCCAGCAGTGGCCTGAGGCAGAGACTACGAGCATGGCTGGGGCTGGCATTCCCCATGGGCATCCTGTTCTTCCGCTGTGGAGCCATGTTCTCAGATAGCTTTGTTGTGGCTGAGGCGAGGGTGGCCCCGTTCCTGCTGGCCTCGCTGGTCATGTTGCTGGTAGGAAAGCTCCACTGGGACGGTCGCCTGACTGTGCCAGAAAGCCCCAAGCAGCAGCTCCTTGGCTTTTCCTCTTACCGGAAAGAGATCTGGTACCTGCTGTGCCTCGTGGCCGTGCTCCTGGTCTGCGTCCGCCTCTCCGGCTTCTTCCACCAGTGCCGTGAAGAAATTCCTCAGTGCCGGCCCTCTCTTTTCCTCTCCCCCCTTGCCAGCCTGAGAAACACACGGGCCAAGAACCTCTTCTACCTCCTGTGCGTGGCCTTGCTGGCTGGGCTGGTGTATGCAGTGCGGAGCTGGCTGCGGCACTACGGCAACCTGAACAGCTCAAACCCCCTCGTGCTCTTTGTGCGCTGGGGCTTCCCACTGGTGGTGCTCTGCATTGCCTGCTACTGGGCCGTGGCTTCCAGCACTGACGACTCCCTGGGCAAGCTGCAGGAGCTGGTGCAGGCGGCAGTTGTTGCCTTTCCGTGGGCCGTCTATGGACTGGTGTCTGTGGGACTGCTGCTCCTGCTGTGTAATCCCATGACGGTGTTTGCCAAGGACACACGGGAGTCGGCAGGATCCATCGTCACCCCCTACCTGGGGGTTCCCAGCTCCGAAGTCGACTTTCTCCACGTCATCCCTCAGATCTACAAGAGGATGCAGGAGTCCCAGAAGAGCCGTCTGGAGCGGGGCAGCTGCAGGGCCACGGTCGCGGCGTACGGGCTGGGCAGCGTGTACTCGGCAGCCCTGGTCATAGCCCTCACCCTCCTGGGCTTCCTCCTGATGCTCCTGCACAGCGAGCGCCTGAGCTTCGCCTTCCTGCTGCTCTTTGTGGAGGCCTTTGTGCTGCTGCACATCCACACGTGTGCCAGAGGCCTTGCTGGAGATGCTGGTGAGTCAGTAGAGCAACCTCTGGGTGTGTGGCCTGGTCCTCGCCTTGCCTTAATTCCAGTGGGAGAGGAAGGGCCCAGCCTCTGCTCTTGGGGAATGGTTGTGCACTGATCCTCACGGGATACACCTAGCCTTTTAAAAGCTGCATAAATCCTGTAGTAGAAGAAAGATGCATGCAGCAGGGACATGTACATGGGAAGAATCAGGGGAAGGAGTTCTACACCCATTTCTTCTGCCCAGGGTGTGAGCAGTCACCAAATCCACTGTTACTGACAGAGCCCAGTAGCAGGGTGGGCAGCAGAGGGAATGCTGGCCCTTTGCTGCATCTGTGGTGGGGTCTGGGCTGGTTCCTGTCTCTAAAGAGCCAGCATGGAAGGGGAACCTGGAAGAAAGGTCACTAGGCTTTTTTTGATCATGAATCTGTCTTGTTCCTTGATGCTGATATCCCCACTCCCCACCTCTTTTTTTATCTTTTTGTCCCTTAGACCCTTTTTCGGTGCCCTGGTATGCAGTCATCTCCTGGCTCCTTGCTGCTTCCCAGTTCTTCTATTCCACAGGCCACCAGCCCATCTTCCCAGCCATCCACTGGAATGCAGCCTTTGTTGGCTTCCACCTTGACCACAGCACGAACCTCCTGCCCGCTGTCTTGGTGGGCGCCAACACCTTTGCCTCCCATATCCTCTTTGCAGGTAAATCAATTTCTCCCTGGCTGTGGTGCCTGAGCAGACACAGCTTGTTGCTGTGCCTTGCCTGGGGGTATGCAAGCTGAGCACGAGGCAGTGAAGGCTCGGGCACCAGCTGAACGGCAGCATCTTCACTATCCCCTTCTGCCTGTGGCCTGCAGCTTGGCCTGGATATCTGCTTCCTTCATGGCCAGGGCATGATGGGAGAGCCTAGACTGCTCCTCACCTTCTGGGCTCCAGTAATTTCATGTGCCTTTGTCCTTGAGGTAGTTGGCTGCCCCCTGCTCCTGTTGTGGCCCTTTGTGTGTGAGATGCCCAGCTCACAGAGGAAGAAGCCCAAGAAGGAGTCACAGGAGGAGCTGCGGGAGGTGGAGGAGCGCATGATGGAGATGAGGCTGCGGGAGTCTCCAGAGAAGTTCTCCACTGCTCTGTTGCAGCTGGGGCTGAAGTACCTCTTTGTGCTTGGGACACAGGTATGGGACAGAGGCAGGGTGGCTGTGGGAGAGGCTGTCTAGGAGGTAGTTGGTGTGCTGTGAGAACTGTGGGTCACTGATGAGAGAAAGGGGTCAGCCAGGACACAGACAAGTGCAGGTGTGATATGTCTGGTTGCAGATGGAAGAACAGGTCCCTTCTCAGCTATGCTATTTCCTCTATGCTTTGGGAACGGTTCCAGCATGGAAGCCACTGTATGGATTAGGCTGCTTTTCATACTCATCTGCCCAGAGTGGGAATGTCTGTTCAGGAACTGCAGGGCCATAATCCTGCTCCCCCTCTTCCCAACCATCCCTATCTCACACCAGCTCTGGTTTTCGTAAGTGCTGTGGTGATATTGGGAGCTAAATACTAGAAAATTAATCCTGTGAAAGGAGCTAATAGCTTTCTGGGGTTTATCCTTTCAGATCGTTTTCTTGTGTGGTCAGACCAGAGGCAGTGCAAGGTAGGGGCCAGGCCCTGTAGCAGGAGAGCAGGAGTGCTCCTCTCAGTGAAACAGCAAGTTAGGCATGGTGTGAGTCCTCTGTGCTGCCCCAGCCTGGCCCCACGAGGGCCTGCCTGTACCCCAAGCTGCTCAAGTTTCCTGATTTGAGGATATAGAAGGGAGTCCTGTTTGGGTGTGCACTGCACCAGCCTCTCAGGTGTGTACAGTTTAGTACCATCTTCAGATGTGAGACTATTGCCCCAGGAGATCTTTCCAGAGTCACTTGTAACATGTTTTTCCTGATCTTCCTCTCAGCTTCTAGCCTGTGTTTGTGCAGCCATGATCCTCAGGAGGCACCTCATGGTCTGGAAGGTCTTTGCCCCCAAGTAAGTCTCAGGAGTTGCTCTGATGATGGGTAAGGTTCATATCCCTGGCGTGAACTGGAGTTCCTAGACAGTAATGTTGGAACAGACCCTGTGATTGATGTTCTGACTTCTTACCTAACAGAGGTTTTAGGAATGTCCTTAAGTAATTCCTACTTGAAATTCAGAAGCTGGACTTAAGGTAGAGCCTAGAAATTTCTCCTCGTCTTAATTCCAAGAACCCACAGGGCCCACCTGGAAGCTAAGAATATTCAGCTCAGAGAGCCAAAGGTAGGGACGAGACCAGATGTGGTAAATCCAGAAATGCTAAACTAGCAAACCTTTGGAAGAGTAGATGTGGGAGGTGGCCTCAGCCTCTGAGGGATTCAAAATCCCACCTGAGTCAGGTCCTGAGCCACCTCTAAACCAGGGGCATGCTTGCCTTCCAGGCTGCAGGCATCAACTGCTGGGGAGTGAATGTAATTCAGGTTTCAGGTTGTGGGGCGCTACCAGCCACTCACTGTCAGGAAAACCAGTCTGCTGGGAGTGATGGGAGCAGCCTGTCTTTGTTGGCACGCTGGCTGTGACCTCCTTAACTGCCTCTGTTGCGCCTGCAGGTTCCTCTTTGAGTCGCTGGGCTTTGTGGTGAGCAGCGTCTGCCTCTTGCTGGGGATCTCCCTGGTGATGCGTGTGGACTGCGCCGTCAGCACCTGGTTCAGCCAGCTCCAGCTCAGGTAGCGCCGGAGACACGGGGATCCTGACCTGCTCGTCGGCCCAGGCTGTGGTTGTCCCCTTGCCTCCCTCGGGCTGGGAGGGGTACACGAGCCGCCAGCAATGAGTGCCTGCCGGCAGCAGTCAGGGATTATCCCCTGCTCCCTGCCTCTGCGCTGTAGAAAAGGACCAGAGTCAACTGTTCCTCGCTCACAGCGGGGGTGTTTCTCAGCAGGGGAGGTCAGAGCTCTTGCTGGGCCTTTGCTGGCAGCAGGAGGACTCTGCTGCAGGAGCCCAAGGCACAAAGCGTCCTGGAGCGCTCCTCTGGAGAAACACCAATGGGGATATTGCTGCTGCTTTCCTGACAACTGTCTCCACTGTGCAGCTGGAAGGCTTCAGTGGGCAGCAGGATGTCATGTTGCCTGTGCAAAGACTCATGGGATGGGGCCTGCTGAGGATGGAAGAGGAGGCTAGAAGGAGAGGGAATGTCCCACAGCCACCCCTTGTTTTCACACTGGAATCAAAGTGTAAGGGATTAACATGTGCAGATGGCTCCCAGGGCCTTGGTGGCAGCTGCTCCTCTGTAAAGTCAGTCAGTTGCTCTGTAGTGAGGCTTCTCAGTGTGGCCAGAAGGACAAGGGAAGTGATCCGTCCCCTGTACTCCGCACTGATGAGGCCCCACCTTGAGTATTGTGTTCAGTTCTGGGCCTCTCAGGTCAGGAAAGCCATTGAGGTGCTGGAGCAGGTCCAGAGAAGAGCAACCAGGCTAGGGAAGGAACTTGAGCACAAGTCCTGTGAGGAGGCGCTGAGGGAGCTGGGGTTGTTTAGTCTGCAGAAGAGGAGGCTCAGGGGTGACCTCACCACTCTCTACAACTCCCTGAAAGGAGGTTGTAACCAGGTGGGGGTTGGTCTCTTCTCCCAGGCAATCAACAGTCGGACAAGAGGGCATGGTCTCAAGATCTGGCAGGGGAGGTTTAGGTTGGATATTAGAAAGAAGTTCTTTACAGAGAGAGTGATCAGACATTGGAATGACCTGCCCAGAGAGGTGGTGGATTCACCGTCCCTGGAGGTTTTTAAAAGGAGGCTGGATGTGGCACTGAGTGCCATGATCTGGTAATCACAGTGGGATTGGGTCAGGGGTTGGGCTTGATGATCTCGGAGGTCTCTTCCAACCCAGTTAATTCTATGATTCTATGATTCTCCTGCCCTACACTCACTCCTATTTTCCTGGTGCTCCATGGTTGATGGAGAGCACTCTGGGCTGCCTTGTACAGCCTGAAGAGGGCTTATCTTGGGGCAGTGGTAGCAGAGAGAACTGTGTCCATGACCAAGAAACTCTCCACTCATGTTCTCAGCCTATCAGAGTTCCCGTGGCCAGGTAAGGCTCCTCATCTTTTCCTGAGTGTGTGCTGCTGAATGCTGGCCATTGATTGTGAATGGTTAAGGTAGAGGGCATGTAGTGACAGAGTATGGGCTCACTGCAATATTGGGCCTGGCCAGGAGGAAAGAGGAGCCCAGAGTAGCTGTCCCAGCTGCAGGAGTGGCCGTGGTATGAGCTCCAGTTCCTGGAAACAGCTACTTGAAAGCCCTGAGCAGGCACCATTTCTTGTAGGAGGTGGTTTAATTCACTGGTGTCTGTGTATGTGCTTGGGGTTATGGGCCCCAGGCACTGCAGCCAGTTGCATCCATCATCCTGTGTTTGGTACTTCTTTCCCTCTTGGCCTTGGCATTCTGTGTGGGACTTCATGCCACAAGTGAGCTACCCCAAACTACCCTTGGCTGCATGGTGTTTCTTTCTTTATGGGCAAAGATGAAGGACAGTGACTATGGTGACTGGCCACATCCCAGCCAAGTTCCTCCCGCAGTTTTCATTGGAGCTGGGATTCCTTACTGCCCTGAACCACTGTGTGGCATTACTTGGTGCTATGAAACCTTCTGTCTCTTTCCCCACTGGAAAGAGCTGAGGACTTCTTGCCTGGGATTTTTGCACTGGTGTTTGTCTGATGCCATTAATTTTTAACTCATGCACCATGACTGCCCCTGTTTGAGTTCCTTACTGCAGACTGTTAGTGTAACTCCAGGCTCTTCCTCTCCTCTGCCCCGGAGAGTCCCAGGGAAAGTGTCTTGTCACCACTCTCATAATTTGAGTTCATGCCATTTTTCCCAAGTGCCCAGTTGCTGTGGAAAACAGCTCTTGAGGGCAGGTTGAGTTTTGTATTTTACCCATGCAAAATGCCTGCTCAGTTGTTAGGGTGCAATTCCAGCCAGGCTTAAACGGCTCTGGTTTTGGGTTTCCATTGCCTGGCCTGCTCCTGAGCTGCTGGCTGTGCTCTCCTATGTCAGCCTCTCCTCTGCCCTGCTCTGTGGGCCTATCCTGCTCGATTTCACCTTACTGAGCCAGGGACTGGTTTGTAGTTGGCATCGCTCCCTGGGCTGCCTCACTGCCTGGGTGCATGACACTGGAACTAGGAACAGGCAAGGGTTAGCAGCGTAGCAGGGGAAGCTGGAAGCTGCAGAAACACATCAGCCCACAGTTAGATGGGTTTAGGCAGTCCCACCCTCAAAAGTAGGTTATTTGCTGTAAACTGTGACTCCTCGGCCATATGTTCTCTGTGCTGAGGGGCGAGGGGTACTCATCCAAATGCAGAGGAGGAAGGGGGTGGAGGTAGCAGCTACCCAGTGAATTTTCATTTAATGTGAGTTTAGTCTGGATAACATGTTGCTAAACCCCAAGGCTAGAGCCCAAATAGATCATCTTGTGACCTCATAACCTGGTCAGGAGCTTGCTGCCCTGAGTGTATTTGTGCTGGCAGGAATCCTTGTGGTCACTAATAGTGTAGAACTGGCCCCTGACGTCCCTGCTACTGCCACCCAGGCCCCTGGACTTCCATCTCTAGGACTAGTTCCTCTTTCACCAGCCACTCCAAGGCAGCTGAGCCTTCCCATGCCCATTGTTCATGGCTGGAACACTCACAGGGTGCTTGGGCATCCTCTCTCACCCCTCCGTGCCACCCCTCTGCTGTGGCTGTGGGCTCACATTCCTGGGAGACCAGGGAGAGCAGGGGGAACAGCAGCGCTGTAGCGTCATCGAAGCACACACACTTATCTTGCCAGAGACTAAACAAAACTTTCAGTAACAGAGCTGCAGGTGCATTCCTGTCACTGCAGAGATACCACGGAGTGCTTGCTGCTCGGCCACGACAAGACTGGCTGCTACACCAAAGATTTCAGATTCATGAAGACGAGTTTTCCAAGGGCTGGAGATGCTATTGCTTCCCTTCATTGACTCTCTCAGTCTTTGTCAGCCTTCCCCAGCTGCCCTCGGGCTGATGGATGGTCTGCCGTTCCCTTGAGCCTGCTGGGGATTACAGTGTTAATGCGGGTCCAGGGCTTGGCGACCTTGGAAGCGGAACATGCTGCTGATGCTCGAGCAGACAGGGCTGATTTAAAACCACAAGAAGGAAGCTGCCTGCTGGTCCAAACCAGGGCTCTTTGGGAAACGTGGCATGCTGGGGAGTAGGCTCTGCCCCACATCCCTCCAAAGAGGTTGTCACAGGAGCCTGCTTGTCTCTCCTGGAGAAGTTATTCCTGGTGGTTTGTTTCTGGTCCCTATGTGCTTTGGCTGAGCATGACAGGGGACAAAAGTGCTCAGGGGAGCGATTTCCATCCTGCACTCCACAATCCTGCTGCACTTTGGGCTTTGCATGTGTTGTGCATGTGTTCCTTGGCAGGGGAGAGCTCCGTTGGGAAACTTCCCTTGGCTCAGGCCCATGGTGGACAGTGTGTCCCATGGTCCTGGCACAGGGAAGGGATTGAATTGTGTCTCTTTTGTGCTGCTTTGAAAACAGTGACTGAAAGCTGCTACCACTGTGAAGAGTTGGGGGTGTTGGGAGCATCCCACTGCTCTGATCCGTGGGGCTGACATGGATCCCAAGGGATGGCACTACTTAGGGGAGGCCAGGGCTCTGTTCCCATGCCTGTTCCTCTGTCCCATCTCTCTCTTTTCTTCCCTCAACGCTTCAGGCTGCTTTTTTACGCCAAGGCACAGTCCCAGTCTCAGTGTGCATCTTCCCCCTTCCCCTCGGGAAGCAGCAGTGCCAGTGAGTGGGGAGCAGGGCTTGGGGGGTGCTGCTCTCTCCTCTGAACCCTGACTCAACACGTAACATGGCTTGGAGCAAGATTGTTTTATTTTTTATTAACCTCTGTGTGCCTCAGTCCCTCATTTGGGAAAAAAAAAAAAAAAGAAAAGGGGGATGGACCCAGCTGTGGAAAGCACCCTGGGAGCTCTGCATGCAGCGCGGTGCTACACTTTCCTGGGTATCTACACATCTGCCTGTCAACGCTTTCATTCACATCCAGCAGCTACACCTGGAAGGTGGAAGCGATGCTTGAGTCTCTGCTGGGAGGCAGAGCCTTTTTTCTGCCAAAAACCCATCCAAAACAGGCCAGTTTTGGGCAGCGCTCGTTCACCCAGCAGCCGCAGCCCTCGGGATGGATGTCCCACGTCCAGCAGGGCTGGATGCGGCCCCACCGACTGCGGGGGGCACCTAGGGAGGGGTCACTCTGTTGCTAAATTATTTAATGAATTAATTAAGCGGGGAGTGTGGGAGGTGTGTGTGGAGATTTGCTGTCCGAGGGTGGCACGGGGCTCCGCGTGGCTGTGGAACTGATGATGTCTGCAAATAAAACTGTGAGAGCCAAGGTGGGCGGCGGTGTCGTCTCCTCCTTCCATCCCTCTTCCTGGTGCACAACCCTCCGAGACCTGTCCCGGGTCTCCTTCGCAGTGACCCTTAACACAATCTGCATCTTCCTTATGAGGGGGAGTGGAGGGGAAGGCGCTGACCTCTCTGAGGACCAGTGACAGGAACTGTGGGAAGCTGACACTGAAGCTGTGTCTGGGGAGCTTTTGGTTGGACATTACGGAATCACAGAATATCCCAAGGTTGGAAGGTACCCACAAGGATCATGGAGTCCAATCCCCCAGGATTCCCCAAGAATCAGCCTTTTCCTAAGGGTTTGCTGAGGGGGAGGTTTAGGTTGGGTATCAGGAAAAGGTTCTTCACCCAGAGGCACTGAACAGGCTCCCCAGGGAAGTGGTCACAGCACCAAGCCTGACAGAGTTCCAGAAGCGTTTGGATGACGCTCTCAGACACGCGATGTGGTCCCTGGGGTGTCGTGCTCAGACCTAAGAATTGGAGTCCAGGATTCTTGTGGGTCCCTTCCAGCTCGAGATATTGCTATGCCTGCGACCGGCGGCTTCGCCTTGGGATGACGTTTGTCCCTTCGCGGCCGCCGCCTCCCCGGCGGGACGCCCGCTCTGCGTTGCCATGGTGACGGCGGGAAGGGCGCGAAAGCGGCCGGCCATGGCGGCGGCCGTGAAGCGGCGTCGCGGGGAGGCCCCGGGGCCGGAGCAGGACACGGAGCGGGAGCGGGAGCAGGATCAGGAACGGGGCTGCCTGCAGTTCTGGGTCGCTCACAGCTGCGCGCTGGCCGAGCGCTGGACGGTGCGACACGTCCCCTTCCCTCCCTGCCCCGCTCCCCGGGCTCGCCGCCGGTGCGGGCCCCCATCCGGGCGGGCGCTGAGTGCTTCCCTTGCAGACAGCGCGGGCCGCGGGACATGGTGGGGCGGCGGCGGCGCGGGAGCTGCTGCGGCGGCAGCGAGACGAGTTCGGGGAGCTGCTCCTGGGCATCCGGGGTGAGTGGAGCCCTGCCCCTGCCCCTGTCCCTGTCCCTGTCCCTGTCCCTGCCCCTGCCCCTGTCCCTGTCCCTGCCCCTGCCCCTGCCCCTGCCCCTGTCCCTGCCCCTGCCCCTGCCCGGCCGGCGCCTCCCTCTGCTTCCCCAGGCCTTGGGGGTGTGTGCGTGGGAGCACGGGGGTCCCGGACACTGCTGTCTACCGAGATGCTGCTCCGGTATCCCAGTGCTGGAAACAAAATTCTGGAGCGGGTGGGAGGGGTTTGAAGCGGTCCCCGCTGCCCTGTGCTGAACTGAGCCTGCAAAGGTGTTAATCGCAGAATCACGGAGTCGTCAGGTTTGGAAGGGATCTCTGGAGACCACCTAGTCCAACAACCCCTCCGCCCGGGCAGGGTCACCTGCAGCAGGTGACATAGGAACGCGTCCAGGTGGGTTTGGAATGTCTCCAGAGAGGGAGACTCCATTATCTGGAGCAGGGCAGCCTGTTCCAGTGCTCTACCACCCTCGATGTAAATAAATTGAATTTGGTACCTCTTGTGTCTTAGTTTATGGCCATTGCCCCTTGGAATGCAGCTCCAGCATCCCAGTGCCAGAGGCAAACCAGAGCGAAACAGACCCCCTGCCCTGTGCTGAACGAGGCCTGCAAAGTGGTTAATGCCCAGCCCCAACCTCCACCTTATCTTGCTGGGCAGAGCTCTGGGGTTTCTGGAAACAAAGTGAGTCAGTCTTTGCCCTGGGGAGCCAGGGAAAGGGCTCCCTGCCACAGCTGTGGTGCAGGGGGAGCCTGATGGAAGGCAGTATCAGTTCCAGTTCTGGGCTACTCAGTGAAAGAGAGACACGGAGCTCCTGGAGAGGGTCCAGCAGAGGGCAACAAAGATGATTAAGGGACTGGAGCATCTTAAGAGGAAAGGCTGAGGAAGCTGGGCCTGTTCATCCTGGAGTAGAGACTACTGAGAGGGAACCTGATCAACGTCTATAAGCATCTGAAGAGAGGGTGTCAGAGGACAGAGCCAGGCTCTGCTCAGTGGTGCTGAGCAACAGGACAAGAGGCCATGGGCAAAAATTGATGCACAGGAAGTTCCACCTGAGAGCATGAGGAAGAACTTCTTTACTGTGTGGCTGACTGAGCACTGGAACAAGTTCCCCAGAGAGGGTGTGGAGTCACCCTCACTGGAGATATTCAGGACGCATCTGGATGCAATCCTGTGTAGGATGGCCCAGCTTGAGCAGGGAAGTTGAACCAAATGAGCCACGGTGGTTTCTTCCAACCTGACCCATTCTGGGATACTGTGAGAAGGAGAGAGACACAGTGTATGAAACCCGTGTGAAAGCATGTATGTGTATTGGAAGAGAGTAGGGTATTGATGTTCTTCTGAGGGAGCTGAAAGGTCTCAGTCCTGGAGGACTGCAGCACCTGGATATCTGGAGAATGGATGTTTAAAGCAGTTGGCACCTGGAGTGGTGACACATGCTGTCTCTGGGCAGTGGCCAAGTGGCCAAATGACACCACAGTTACAAATCACAGTCACAAAAAATATTCTTGCCAGGCCACTTCTGTTGTCACCAAGCCAGGTGTTTTCTCCCAGCCAGCTAAATTTCTTGTTGGGTTGGCTGTGCCCACAGGACTGCCGGCTGCTCTCCCTACCCTTCCTCTGGAACTCACTGTCCTCTACAACTCCCTGCTTTTCACTGTGGGAGCATCCGACTCTGCCATCGAGGGAGAAGCAGACGGAATACGCCAGGGGCTCCTCAGGGGTAAGGAGGTGATCCTTTCTATGGGGACTCCTCGGGGCAGGGGGAGCATTCTCTGTGCTCTGGAGATGTGGGGTGAATGGCTGGAGGTGTGAGAACTGGGAGCAGACCTGCCTGGCTCCATATGGAAGGGCTGGAGATGGGTAGAACTGTGAGCAGAACATGCCTGGCTCTGCCTGGAAGGGCTGGAGATGGGGGGAGCAGTGGGCAGCCAGGCCTGGCTCCAACAGGAGGGGCTGGAGGTGAGGTGGCCTGTGGCCAGGGATGATGTGCAGCTGCCTGCCTGCCTGCCTGCTGCTGCCTGCAGGGATGGGCCAGAGGTTTTAAGGGAAGGAAGAGTTTTCAAGGTGTAAGGTGCCAAGTCACTAGCGAAGCTTTGGTGACAGTACAAAATTAAGTGTTTTCTTTAATTGTGGTGTGCTGGCTTCAAAGAAAACCCACTGAAATAGGCTGCAGGTCAGAGGTGGGTCTGCAGTGTTGGCACACGCTTACCCAAGGGCAAGTGACCTCAAGAGGACTCGGCAGAGCTGGAGCTGTAGCTCTGAACCACGTGTTGTTTCCTGAGTGTGCTGCTGTCAACTCCACGCTCTGAGAGCTTGGTTTCTGTGCTGCTGAGGCCAGGCCAGCCCTGCAACCCCACTCCTTCTCTTGCTATGAGAAGCCCACGCTTGAGGCTTTCTTCCCTCTTGTGGGAGGGTATCCAATTTGTCTCACAGCTGTGAAATTTTTTGCTTGTTTTTTTTTTTTTTTTTTTTTTTTTTTTTTTTTTTTTTTTTTTTCAGTTCTGGAGGCTTGTGGGGCCTGTGGACAGGATCTCAGCATGGAGGAGCTGTGGGAAAAGGTGCTGCAGGAGGTAACAGTGGAGGAGCTGCAGGCACCTCTGCACCGACTGGGGGCCTTGCAGGCAGCCTGGTGGTTGGCAGCTGGACGCCTGGGAAGCATTGCTGGTCTCTTCCAGCTCCTGAGCATTGCTGAGGTAATTGGACACGGGCAGATGCTGGCAGAGCCAGCATAAATATTGTGTTTGTCATAAAGCCCACTCTGCAAAATGTTGTTGTGGCATTTGGACACCTGAAACCGTCAGTGCTGCCCAGTCAGCATGAGTAATGCTCTCCCTGGCGTTCCAGCATACCCTAATGGCCCTGGGTGCATTAATGAATCGCAGAATATTCTGCCTGTTGGGGCCCTTGGACCTCTGTGTGTGAGACAGGAAATCTGGGCAGGCTGGGACGCGGCTGCAGATGGACTTGGAGACTGTGGAGGGAACACTCTGTGGGCAGTTGGATGCAGAGGAACCTTTCCTGCTGATTGAGAGTCTGCTGAGGGGGGGGTCCCACCTTTCTGAAGGTACTCCAACAGCACTTGGATCTGCTTGCTAGGAGCCTCTTGAGGTGCACCCCACTCTGAGGTGGGGGGATGCTGCCCCAGGCCAGGCAGGAATCAGTGCAGTGAGGGGGCTGTATCTGAAATAAGTGGGTGGTAGGACATTGCTTCCCAGTGCAGCGTCAAAGGGTTTGGTGGTACCTCTGTTTCCCTGTGCTCTTGGATCAGTGTTTACTGCTTCCCTTCAGCATTCCCTGCTCTCTGCCCTCTTGCATTCACAGGACAAAGGAAGAGGTCGCAGCAGCAAGGAGCAGAATGAGCTCCTGTCCCTGCTGAAGGCCTGGCAAGTCCCCGCTGAGGAGGCCTCCCTGCGCCTGGCACAGAGTGCTGAGGACTTGAAGGAGATCCTCTGCACAGCAGCAGCGTTCCTGCAAGGTTTGTGTGACAAAGGTACTCAGCTTCCCACTGCTCTCCTGTCCCAGGACACCCTTGTCCTGTCCTTATCGTGGTTTCTCTTCCGAAGCAAACTGACCCTTGGGGTTTTCTGGGCTGTTCCTTTAGAAGAAGTCTGGGCTGAGCCTCTGAGTCTCAACTTTTCCATTCCATATTCTAAGAGCTTCCCTGCTTTTACCCCAGCTGATCCTTTCTCTGCACTGTCACAGGGCTCTGCTGCCTGTCTGTGACTTTGCGTAGGTGTCTGGGCCCTGCAGTGATCTTAAAGCAGAAGGCTGGCAGGGGACATGTGAGGATTTTCCTTTCTTCTGTCTGTCTTCCTGCATCTGCCTCATTGCAAGCACGTTGTTCCTGTCGGATTGTGGTGCTGCAAGAGCCGCACAAAGCTGTTGTGAGGCTTTGTAGCCTGGTGTCGCAGCAGGCAAAGGACCTCATCTGACTGCTGCGTTCTGTCCCACTTGTTGTTTTCTCTCCTTCACTGTTATGACAACCCCAGCAGCTCTGGGGGCAGCCAGTGCTGCCTCTGTGTGCTCAGGCTCATGCGGGGCCTCCCTGCCAGGAGGCAAAGCAGGAGCTCCAGCCCACAGACCTAGAGCCAAAATGCTCTTGGGTGGCACCAGCACTTCCAGCAGGGAGGTGGAAGATGTGAGTATGTGAGACCAGCCTCAGAGGGAAGCTTGAAAAGAGGATTAAAAGAAAAGCAAATAACCATTTGTGATAAGTATTAATGACTTAAGATCCCAAAGCATCCTGCTGGGAAACGGCCCAGATGTGCTGGAAAGACTGTGAGATCCTATGTGTGTACTTCCCCCTCTGCACCTCTGTCACTGTGGATGAATGTGGAGGTGAACCTGCCCAGCACCTACCTCTGTCACTGTTCTGGGCCAAGGCAGACATTTTGGTTTCTGGGTTTAGAAGCTGCTGTTATTTCTGCTGGGCATTTCCACTGAGTGACTTGTTCTCTTGCAATGCCATTAAAGCAAAAATGGCAGCTTGGGACCATCCTGCTGGGCATTGCTGGGTTTGGAGGGGATCAGGCAGGTCCCTGTGGCACTGGGAAGAAAAGGGCACCTCCCTGGCGACCAGGGAGGGCAGGAAGGCGAGCCACAGAGTTGTTGGGTCTGTCCTAGGGCTGCAGGAGCTGGAGGCTGGGAACTTCCCCACTGCCCTCTCCCTCCTTCAGGAAGCTGCAGGAGGATTCTGCTCCAAGAAGGTCCTGGCTCAAATCTACACCTGCCTCGGCTGCTGTGCTCAGCGAATGGTAATGACAGCAGGGAGGGGGAAAGCAGCTCAGAGCAGGGTGGGAAAGATCAGGCTGATGTCCACACTGCCTCTTCATGGTCCTAGGCCACTGTAGGGTGGCAGGGTCCTGAGCAGAAGTTGCCCTTGTGGCCCCAGCCTCCTTGGACAGGCAGCAAAATCCAGGCAGGGATTTTGGCTGAGCACAAAGGGCTGCAGAGAGAAAAGCTCAAAAACCAACCTGAGGAGGGCTGCCCTTGGCAAAAGTGCTGCCCTTGCTTAGCTGGGATCTCTGGGGAAGCAGTGCAGGGATCTGGATCCCACTAAATAAGTAAAGATGTGCTTGCAACATGCATCTCTTCCCATTCAACCAGGGCAAGCCTCAGACAGCCCTTCAGCACCTGAAACGGGCCCTCCAGGTCGACTTCCAGTGTCTCCCTGCCCTGTCCCACGCAGCAGCAGTGTACCATGAACTGGGAGAGACAGATACAGAGCTGCAGGCCCTGGCTCTGCTCTACGAGGTTGGTCTAATTCCTCTAGTTCCGAGTTGTTTTTCTGCCCAGCAGAGCCTGCACAGAGCTTCAAGCAGGCTTCTACTTTCTTGGGGTCCCCAAAGTAGGCTACAGCAATCCAGGCATGGTGCTGCCTTCAGACTGTGGGCAGGAAGAAGCCCAGTGAAATCTGAAATTCCTGCTCAGCACCTGGCAGTTGGATATGGTTGGATCTTGTGTCCCAGTTCATGTTCTTGGTGGCTTGAGACAAGTGGTTATAGTCTCAGGTCAGAAAGTATCAATCTCTTAAAATAGTAAATGATAGTAACGAAGCCTTTACAGGCAGACTGTGGCTCTAAGGGGGTGTGCATTAGCTGTATCAACCTGTCTGGGAGAGCAGGTCACAGCAGTAGACAATGAGTTATCTCTTCAGCTGTTTGAGATCTGTAAGGTACAAAGAGAGCTGTGGAGAGGGGTCTCTCTCCTTAGAATGACCTGAGATCTGATCTCACTAGGTCTGTGGCTGCAGTGGGAGATGGTGTTCCCTGCAGTGCTGAAATAAACACCTGAGGTGGTCTGGGTGATCTTGTAAATCTTCTGGCACCGTGTGGAGATCAGGAGTCTGCCTGATCCATGTGTGATCCTGATGCCTCTACCTGGAAGTGGCTGCGAGAACAAGCAGCTGTGCTTGTGAAGTGCAGAACTTGTGCTCGTCTGGGTGCATCTCCGCATGCCTGAAGAGACAAGGGATTGCAGCTGCATGAGATTAGACCATTGTGTAAGAGATTTGATCATATACCCTGTTCCTGTTTTCACAGGCTCTGGAAAAAAAACCTTCACCAGCTGCTTCCTCCAGTCCCTATTTCCTAATCCGAACAGAGCTGCTTGTCCACACACCCACACTCACTTCTCTCCTTCGCCATTTCCACCCCTCTGAAGTGAAGTACCTGCTGGCACAGCGGTGTCTCCAGGATGGGAGGTAACAGTGCCTCTGGTGAGCTTGCAGCATGCTGCTTGTTTGGGCTCTGCAGCTTTTCCTGTGCTCTGGCAAATGGTCCAGTTCAGTAGTGCTGTTGTGGGTCTGCTCAAAGCATGGATGGTTGTGACCAGAGCGAGTGTGGTGCACGGAAAACCTGTGGGCTGGCGATCCACCTGGTTCCACCTGGCTGCTGGCACTTCTGGAGGTCCCTCTGCTCCTTCCACCACATGTCCTGTCCCTGTTGCAGGGTGACTGATGCAGTGGAACATTACCTGGATTTTCTGGCTCTGCTTCAGGAGGGTCTCCAGCAGCAGGTAGGGTTCTGGTGAGCTCCCTTGGGTGATTTGGTAGATGAGGTTTGAATCTCCATCCCAAGGCCTCGGCCCAGGTGTCACCCCTGGACTCCAGGTTTCAGTGTCTAGCTTGAGATGTAAAAGAAGCGGGGGCTGGCCCCCCTGGCCTGTGGCACGTCTGCCTTTGGATTCACACCAGAGAGCACTTCCCACTGTTATTTGGAGAACCAGCTTCCCCTTCCCCCTAAAGCTGTCAGCCTGATTTTGGATGTCCTTCACTTCCAGAGTAGGGATTTGCTGCCTTGACTCTGCTGAGCTGTGAGTCCTTCACAGCTTCTGCCTGCTCTGCCAGGCTCCAGTGTCTGTGGGAGTGGGCCTGAGCTTTGCTGGGAGCAGCTCTGTGTTCCCAGGTGTGATCGCTGTGCCTGGCTGGGCGCTCCGCAGTTCTGCAGCACTGACATTGCCTTTGTTCCTCAGGTGCCCCTGGATGGTAGCTCAGCTCTGCCCAGGATCCCAGAGGTGTTCCTGGAAGCAGCATCCGCCTTGGAGCAGGCTGGGAGGCACCAGGACGCCATAACCATGTGCGAAGAGGTCATCAGACGGACGACTGACCTGATCCCACGGATGTTACGAGTGGAGGAGAAGCTGGAGCAGCCGGAGTGCCCATCGGAGTGCCCATCGCCGGGGGCAGGGCTGGCAGGGGGACTCCTGTCCCAGAAGAAGGAGAATTTGTGCTGCCTTGCCTGGAGAACAGCTGGATACCTGCACCAGGGCTGGGCATGGGCCAAGCTGGGCGAGAGCAAGGAGGCCATAATGCAGTTCAGCAGGTGATGAAGCCTCGCTGGGAGAAAGGGCCTCCCCAACAGGCAGCAACTGGCTGGTGGGGCCAGGCCAGGGCATAGCACTGCACCAGGGCTGGCCTGGCAACACTCCTGACAGTCCAGAATTGGCTCCAAACCTCCACTGTCCTCCCTTCCACAGGTGCCTCAGCGATCTCCTGCGAGTCCAACTTCGTGGACCTGCCATTGAACCAACAGGTGAGGGCCTGTGTGGGACCTGGCTGGGTCAGGATCCGTGTGCTTGTCAGCAGTGGGTACAGGAGCAAGATGGAGAGCCCAGCATCACTTCTGTCCCGGAGTGCTGAGCTCTGTGCCATGCTGAATCCTCTGAAGAGCCTGGCTGCTTTGGTTGGAGCAGAGTTTGGCCTCAGCTCTGTCTCCTTCTTCACTGTCCAGGCAAAGGTTAAATGGGCTGTGAACTGGGAAGCCTGTCCAATCCAGATTTCAGGAAAAAGATTTGTGCCAGTTGTGCAGATGGGCAGCCAAAGGTCAGGCTGCTGCTGAGGTCACTGTCCACCAGAGCCATGTAACATTCTGAGCTCTTGGCACTCTCATTCTCCCCCTCTGCTGCCTCCCAGCCTCTTCCAGCCTAGCAGAGAGGCTGAGCATCTGTCTGGGGAGCTGGAAGATGAGCAGCCCAAGTAAACCTTTGGGTTGTCCTGACTGCTAACCTGGCTCAGCCTGCTGGGACTAGGGAGGGAATGCCTGGAGGATGCTGTCTCCAGGTGCACATGTCTTTCTGAGGCAGAGAATCTCCCACCAGAGGTGGAGGTCCTCCAGAAGATCAGGTTACTCTCTCTCATCGGGCGAGGTACACAGTTTCTGGAGCTGGGGAGGCACAAAGAAGCCCTACTGGATTTCCAGCATGGTCTGCAGGTCTCTCCAGGTAAGAGGCTCTTCCTCTTCCTCATTTTGGTGAGGAACAGAGGGGATTTCCACAAATTTGTCTGGGCCTGCCTTGCTCTCCAGCAGGAAGTCCTTATGCTTTAGACCACACTTACTCGGGTATCAAGGACTACAGTAGGACCACTAGCAATGTTACATACTAGAGATGCTTCTGTGAGGCCTGGCAAGCTCTGCCCTGAAGAAACAGACCAAAACTATTGTCAGAAGAGTATATTAGAACCCTGGCAACAACCTGTGCCCTGAGACAGCTTGGAAATTTCTCTTCCTGCCCCAACCCCAACCTGGTACAGCCAACTTTCTCCCAGAGAGGTCTGCTTTTCCAGAGCAGAGGAGCTGGAGTTGAGCTCCGTCTGAGGATGCAGCATGTCCGTGCCTGGCAGTGCAGAGGCCTGTGAAGGGCAGCACACGTCTCGAGCAGCAGCATGGCTGGTGCCACTCCCGGGGGTGATCTCCCCTGTTAGTGCTCCGGCTGTGCTGCAAAGGTGTGAGCTTCACTAGAAGCTGCCAAACCTGCTGGTCCCTGTCCTGACCGTGGCTCCCTCCCTTTGGGGGTGCAGACCTGTCTGCTGGGAAAACCCCAACCTGTGTCCAAGGAGAGGTGTGGCACGCTGTGCTGCAGGGCTGATGCCATCTGTCTGCCTTGGCTGCCAGCCCCGGGGTTAATTAGAGCCTATGACACAGCAAGACAGTCTCCTCCACATTACGCCAGCCCTCCTCAAGCTCACCCACCTTGTCTGGCTTCCAAGCTTCTTTTGCAACACCTTGCAGGTCACAGCAGTGCTGAGAACGTGCTTCTCCCCTGCTGAGGGCTGATCCTCCTTCATGTCTTACAGGTGACCCAGCTGCTGCCTCCTACCTGGTGCAGGCCTTGTGGAAACTGGACCGAAAGCAGGAGGCGGCTGCTCAGTGGCAGAAGTTGTCCCAGAGCTCCCCTGGGGAGCAGAAAGGAAAGGGAAGGTGTGTAGAGAGAAGGGTGGGATTCCACCTCCAGCAGCACAAACGGTGTGTCAGGCTGTGGGGGCAGTTCAGCTCAGCTCCTCCTCACCTGTGCCCACACCTTGGATGTGCCTGAGGAGCTTCTCCCCACAGCTGCTCTGAGGGACCACAGGCTGTGGCTCTGTGGGGAGAGCTTGTGTGGGGCCAGATGGGGAGGGCAGAGGCTGGGGGAGAGCGGGGGCCTCTGCAGGACAACCTTTCCTAGTCAGGCATGTCCCCTTCTCTTTCAGGCCCCTCCCTTTGTACCTGGTTTTGTGCCTGGAGCAGGCCGTGTTCCCACACAGTAAAACTCTTGCCAGCACCATACAGGATTACCTCGGGACAGCAGCCCAGGACACCTCAAGCTGACCTGGTCAGTCTCCGGGCTGGCACTTTAATCACTCTTCCAAGACTCAGAATCACTCTTGAATTTTAATTGATTCCCAAAGGACTGAAACACATATTTTCTAATAAAAGCCTCAGCTCTACTTAGTTTTAGGCTTTCCTGTGCCATTTTTCCAGAGGGAAACAATGCAGTTATGGCCTTTTCGCTGCCTGGAGCTGTATCCTGGTTGTATCCAAGGGCAGAGATCTCCTCATCCTTTGTGCCAGCTCTGTGCTCCAGGCTCCAAAGTGCTGGAATTCTGTCCTATCTCTGCTTTGTCTTTTGCTCGGTTGCTGCAGTTTGGAGCTCAGAGAAGGAGTTTTGGCCGAAGCATGCAGCTCCGAGGTCTAAATTCCACATGGAATTTCACAGGGATGGGACCAGTGCCTGGAGACGAGCCTGTGTGCCCCTTGTGTGTCCCAGCTCTGTGGCCCCTCTGTGACAAGTGATCAGGGGTGAAGGAACACCTGCCTCCGCCCAGCGCTTCGTGCAGCTCATTTCAGGTGAGGAAGGTCCCTTGTGACATAATCCCAGCCTTTGTCAAGCCTTGCCTCCCACAAGAGAAAAGGGATGTTTGGGAGCTGCAGGCAAAGGCTGAGTTGGGAGAAAGGGGAGAGGACATAACAGAGCTCAGGAGAAGCAGGAGCTGTTGCAGCCTCAGCACTGGAGGGACAGAGGGGCTTTGGGTGGGCTTTGTCCTGCAGTGCCTTTGGGAAAACAGCTGGGCACATTCTGGGTTGCATCCAAATCAGGGTGGGCAGCAGGGGAGGGAGGGGATTCTGCCCTCTGCTCTGCTCTGGTGAGCCCCGCCTGGAGCACTGCAGCCAGCTCTGGGTGCCCAGCACATGGAGGACATGGACCTGCTGGAGTGAGTCCAGCAGAGGAGCACCAAGATAATCAAAGGGATGAATCATCCATCTCTCCTATGAGGAAAGGCTGGGAGAGTTTGGATTATTCAGCCCAAAGAAGAGAAGCTCCAGGGAGGCATTTCATACTCTCAAGGGGCTGCAAGAGACTTGAAGAGGGACTTTTGAAAGATGGAGTGACAGAATGGGAGTGTGTGTGTGTGTGTGTGTGTGTGTGTGTGTGACTGTTTTAAACTGCCAAAGGGCAGGGTTAGATGAGGTATTGGGAATAAATTCTTTCCTTCGAGGGTGGTTTCCCCCAGGCACAGCTTGCCCAGAGAAGCTGTGGCTGCCTCACAGCTGGCAGTGTTCAAGGCCAGGCTGGACGGCGCTCTGAGCAACCTGCTCTGATGGAAGGTGTCCCTGTTCACGGCAGGCCGTTGGAACCAGATGATCTGTAGGGTCCCTCCCATCCCACGGAATTCCACGATCCCACGGGCAGGACCGCAGGAGACCCGAGTGGCGGGAACGACTCCGCGTGCGCGCCACGCCCCTCCTGATTGGCCCTCCCATGGGGCTCCGCCCAATCGCGGGGCAAGGGCGGGACTTCTCGCCCGCATGGTCCCGTCGGTGGCTCCTCGCCTTTGGCCGCCCGGGCGCTGTCACTCAACTGAGCGCCGCACTCCGATTGGCTGCGGGGAGGGGAGCCTGGCTCGCGGCGATTGGCCAGAGAGCGAGAAGAGGGCGGGGAGGAGGCGGAGCCCTCGTCCTTTTTTCTTTCTCCGCCACCCATTGGCCGCGGTGGCGGCCGGGCGGAATTTCCGATTGGCTGGCGCAGACTGTTGCTAGGCAGGGCAGGCGGCGTGGGCGGGGCTCCCGCCACCGATGAGTCGGCGCTGAGGCTCAGCCAGCGCGGACGCCCCGGACCCTCCGCCCGCCGCCCGCGACCCCCGCGACCCTCCGGACCCCCTGCCCGCCCCGCGGACCCGCCGCCCGCCGCCCCTCGTCCCCTTCCCCGCAGCGCCATGGCCTCGGGATCCGAGTAAGTGCGGCCCCCACCGCCTCCCCGCGGGCTAGGCCCTGCCGCGGCCTGGGCCTGCTGCGGCCCGCCCGCCTCTCCCGGAGCGGCCCGCGGGCCCCGGGCGGACGGCAGCGGCGCCGGGACGGGGCTGGGCCGCCCCCGCCGCCCGCACCGCCAAGGCCGGGCCGCACCGGGAAGTGTCGAGTCATGGCGGGGGGGCGAGGCCGGGCCGGGCCTCCTGCAGGGCCGTGTCCGGGCCCGGGGCCGCAGGGCCCTGCACCGCCCAGGGCTTTGTTTCCCGGCCCCAGCCCGGGCTCCGCGGGCTCGCCGCGGCTCCCGGGTTGGGGCTGGCGAGGGACTTGGCGCTGGCCGAGGCCGACATGTTGTGCCGGGCACGGCTGAGGCGATTGGCGGTGTTTTCCTGTCGGGTGTCCGGCCTTACTCTTGAAGCCTCTGCTGTGTTCCAGGCTGAGAATCGTCTTACGCTCTCCTCAAAAATGAGTAACAGCCCCTGCTCGCAGCCCACGCGCCCCTCAAAAGAAGTGAAATAGAACCGAAAGACAAATTTTCGCCAAAGCAGGGATACTCGAAGTGACTTTTTTGCCTCGCCAGAGGCGCTTTTGGTCCCTCTCATGTCCTTTGCGTGCGTTTTCCTTTCCTTTCGCCACTCCTGGAATCCGGACCTGCTTGGTCCTGCCGGGCCAGTTTCAGCGAGGTGTGCCAGACCGGGCATTCTGTGGTGAAAGTGGCATTCCCACAGCCCTGCTGAGCAGCCGAGGGGGGTGAACAGTGTTTTTAAAAGGGGATTGCTACGTTAGCAAAGTCCTTCTCGCCCGTGCAGGAACCAGCAAAAGTTACTTTGCAGCTGGGACGGGGTTACTTTTTAGATGCCATTTTTTGTCCCTGTTGCTGGCAGCCATCTTGCTGAGCCGGGCCTTAGCACGGCAAGTAGGCATTCCAGAAGCTCAGGGAGTGTGGGTTCTCAAGGGATTCCTGTTTTCCTGTGCCAACCTGTCTGAAAGCAGTGTTGAAAACCTGGGGTCTCCAGCACGGGTCTGAGCTCGTCCCGTGGTTGTCTCGTTCTAGTAAGTGACTGCAGTCACCACATACCTCAGGCACCTCGCTCATGGACAAACTTTTTATGATTTTTTTTTTTGTTGTTGTTGTTCTTGAAAACTTGCCTGGGAAAAGCAGTTTAATCTGTAACTCAGATGTTCAGGGTGGTAAGAAATTGCTCATGGGTTTTATCTGGGAAGTGTTTTCATAAGGATGGTTATAAAAAGCCAGGCCAGCACATAGAGGGCATGGCAGTTTTCACTTTTGTTTCTGCAGCTGGAATCATTCTGAGACAGTGACTTTTTGCTTATTTTTAGAACAGACTTAGAGGAACAGCTTGTTTCCTTACTCTAAACAAGGCTTTGGAGGTTGGTTGTTCTTTTCAGGAGGATCACTAATTAGTTATTACTTTCTGCTCTGGCTCTTCATACCATCCCCTGTGATGCCTCTGGGCCTTTTTTGCTGAATGAGGGGAGCTCTGACACAGAGAGAAACCGTGGAGTGGTGTGAGTCCATGAAGTTGTGTCAGGGGAGGTTTAGGTTGGATATTAGGAAAAGATTCTTCACCCAAGGGGTGAGTGGGCACTGAACAGCCTCCCCAGGATAGTGATCACAGCACCAAGCCTGACAGAGTTCAAGAAGTGTTTGGACAACACTCTCAGGCACATGGTGTGATTCCTGGGGGAGTCCTGTGCTGGGCCAGGGGTTTTCCTTGATGATTCTTGTGGGTCCCTTCCAGCTCAGGATAGTCTGCGATTCTCTAAGTTGTAGAAAGTCCCTCTGCTCCTTCCTTGTGTCTAGTGGGGCTGCTGAACTGCTTTACTGAGGGAGAAAAGGGGGCTGAAGGTGTTTACAGGGAACCCACTGTGGTTGACCTTTAGTACTAACACATATTTGCTTCAGTTCTATAGATGTCTTGCACTTTGTGTGCAAGGTGGGCCATTCACTGTGCTGGGCGTTGATTCCTCTCTTCTGGCCTCTGTCTAGGGGCAGCTTGAATTTCCGTTCAATTCCAAAACAGCTCTAAAGCTGCAGTTTATGTTCAGTTTGTCTCTTTGTTGAGCCAGAGAAAGAAAGGAGCGAGAGGGAAGGTGTGTGAGTGAGCTGACAAAAGGGGTGGATCAGGGAGATGATTTGGAGGGTTTGCACTAGGCTCTTTCTGATGGAAAGCTTACTGAGGAACTGTAAAAATTGCCCAGGTTAGTTTTCTGTCTCTACCCTTTGCTGAAACTTGCCAGCAGGAGTAGGAAAATTGTCAGGAGCGAGCCCCAGCCCATGCCGTAGGGTTTCCTGCTTGGTATTTTCTGTTCATGCTATCCTTCCCACAGATGTCAGGGTTTGTCTGAGTGTGGTTGAGGTGCAGAGATCTGTTTTGCCCTGTCATTTCAGCTACAGCAGGAGGAACCCGCAGAGAGATGCAATGAGGGTAAATGATGATGATAACAACACTGTAAATTACTGCTGGAAGATGGGGAGTGATTGTGTATCCAAGTGTTTACCCTTATCTGCAGGAGAAATAACATCAGTGCCCTGCCTAGCTGACTTGTAATTTTGTAGAACCTTTGTTTTTGTCTCTGCAGAACTGTTGGTTCAGAGCACATTTAGAAACTGACCCCGCACATTTAGATCCCTCCATGCTGTTTCTTGGAGACTTTTATTCCATTTTTAATGCCTCTAAGCTTTTCGATCGCTCTTAAGTGCACCTGACATTGATCCAGCCCTCACTTCTTAGGGAACTGCAGGTCCGGTTCTTCTGTGCCAAAACTTTTCCCTCACATTCAGCAGAACCAAGTGGACTCTTGCTATGTTCTTCAGCACTGCTGCGTGTCGGGAGGTGTCAGAACTTCTTTTCCAGTTTCCTACAGCTTTTGGCTTGTGGACAGTTTTGGTTGAAGAGCTTCCACTTGCTGGCTGGTTGCTTTACCATTTATTTTTGATCCTGTGTCCCAGGCTGTTTTCCAGGCTGTGTGGCAGTCCCTGTGTCCCCAGGGACAGCCACTCGGTTCTGGTGACAGCTCACGTAGCCTAAGTCTGGCAGCAGGCTTCTTATCAAAAGGCCTTTGGATCCACATTTCGTGTTTAGGGGGGTTTGAGTTACATTCACACTTGGAACAAGCCAAATAGAGGCATTGTGTCTCCCTAGTCAGAGTTTTAAATCTTCCTGCTAAATTAGTTTGCAGTGGCC